TTGCTATCGGGATGTTAAGAGCATTCCATGGAATATAACACAGTGTTTCTGAAGTGAATTACATACCCTACCTTTAAGGGTGTAATTATGTTTTGACCCTTTATTGTTTTATTCTCAGGTGGTGACCATCTTGGCGAACCTCTCAGTTCTGGAGCAGTGTGCTCCTGAAGTCCTGCAAGACCAAGGTACACCTTCTTACTCTTATTTAAAAATACAGTAATAATAATAATAATAATTCATAAATGGACGTTGCACGGTCACGAAACATCTGTGTAATTCTTCCTTTATCCTCAAGATGGCAGCTTCAGACTATAAGGGAAGAAGCCTGAAAGTGCTTTAATAAAACATCAACCTACTGAGCATATGCACATAATAAAAAATAAAAATAAAATACCTAAATACTATTTTAAATAATTTAGTTATCCCTTCAATTCAGTATTTTTTTAATTTAAATGTTTGCATGCAAATCTACCCCGTTAAACATATTCCATTTAATACAACCCAATTAAATTAATCATGTTAATAATAAAATACACGCAAAGACTTTAATTGTGCCAGTATCTGTTAAATTGAACAGCATTTAAATTCTTGCTCTAATATATATATTGGTCCTTCAGTCGATAAACATTTATAAATGAATCTAAGGGCTTGTTATTGTTTCCTTTACAGAATATTTATGCAATTTGACAATGACTTGCCAAAACTGTTCATGCTTTTATAATGAAGTTGTGAATCTCAGCACTTATGAAGAATAACTTGTAACCCTCACTCTGCTGATTTTATCTCACCTCGATCTTTTTCGTAGCGTTTGATTACGCTTTCTAACTGCACGGTTGGTTTAAATCCTTTTAGAGAGTGGTTGTGTGAAATTGGGCTTTTTTCCAAATCACCTGAGCACTTTGTTATGTCTGAGTCTTTTTTTGCTTATGTTTCAATTTGATGTGTTTGTTGGCTTGTGTCTGCCGAAACTGTCGGTTTCCTCTTTTCGTTCTTCCATAATCTTTTCTTTGTGTGTTTTACTGTAACTTCTGTACCATATGTCTTCCTTTCTGTGCATCAAAGATGTATCTATTATCTATTGTACAATGCCATGTCTTTTTATGCTGCTGCAACACCAACATTTCCCAAATTGTGATCAATAAAGTCATTCTTATCTCGTCTTATCTTATCTCTGTTCCCCTGACACCTCTGAATCTTTGGTTTCATGCTAATCTGTAGGATGCTTTATGTCTCTTCCCAGGAATCGAGCGCCTGCTGCTGCTCCTCGGAGAGAAGCCGTCCTCCGTCAGTCCATCGGAGGGCGCCGCCTGCGAGCGAGTTCAGCAGAAAGCCGCTGTGACTCTGGCCCGGCTGAGCAGAGACCCTGAAGTCTCCCAGATAGCCATCCAGCTCAAAGGTAGGGCAGACATGAGGATTCCCAATAACACTTTTGATGATTCCTCCCATCTGACGCCTCTTTATAAAAGCATTCGGTCGAGAATGTGTGGGTTTTGGGCCTCATTTGTCTCCTGTGTGTGAAAATTAAACATTAAGTTAGAATTCAATTTGCCATTGTGAGAAGAATAAAGTATTATTCTGCCTATATTCTTCTTCTTGAGAGGAGCAAATATACTGTAGTGCTGAAAAACTGTAAAACACAACACTTAAAGGTCCAATAAACCCTGCTGGCAAAAAGTTAAAAAGCCTTGAATCAGTTTTATGGAGAAATTCTTAAAACACAATCCATGCCTATGTGATTCAAAATGATTATCTTCTGTGTGACCAAACGGTGGAAGGAGACCCCGGAAATAGACTATATTTCAGTCTTGTGACACAGTAGTAATTGAAAGGGTTGTAACTTTGTCATTTTGATAAAAAAATTTGGTTAATATTGAGCATACGACTGGATGAATGAAGAATGATCTGTTGTGTGAGAGAATGCAAATAGGGCTTTTGATATAGATTTGCTGCTGGGGAAACGGCCCCCTGTAACCTCTCATTATCAACATTTTACTCAGTTTTCGGATTCCCTGTTCATCGTACAGTACATGCATGCGTCAAAAACACTAGTTTCTCAAACAGCATTTAATAAGTGATCAAATAAGCAATTTTCCCTGTTGTTACAAATGTAGCTGCTCTGATGCAAGAAAAATGTGATCTGTCAATAAAGTGTTATCGTATCGTAGGTAAAAAAGGGTAATGCCATTATAACAACTCCATTATTCACTGCATTGTAGTTGGATCCTATTTGTCATCATTCTTGAGGGAGTTAGTGAACAAGTATTACATTTTTCCTTATTAAACGTTTATTGACGTCTTAATCTTCTGACATTTTTATCAACATCTGAAAAAAAAAAGTGTTTCTACTCTGAATGTCTAAGCGATTGCTGTCTCTGTTCACATCTGTTTATATTTGATATCAAAAGGGAACATTTGTAACGCTTATTTGTTTCCCTCCGCTGTCTGTAGCTGTTCCTCGTCTCATTGAACTGTGCCGCTCCCCCACTGAGAGAAATAACAGCGACTCAGTGCTGGTCGCTTGCCTGGTAGGTACAAAGTGTGTGTGTGTGTAGCCTTAGATATGTTTGAACGACTCCCTGTCATGAATGCAAATATCTAATTCAAACAGCCCATCTCAGTCAAATACTATACATTTTCAGCTGTACTCGCTATATGGTACTTACATTAAATAGTACAAACTGAGGGCATTATACCGCGAGCCTGCATGTGTTTAACATCAGAGCACAAATGACTGTCCAATTTAATTACATCCACAGGGCAATGTGTGAGAATTGAAAATATATCACACCCTCCGTATCTTTAAGCCATGTGGAGATAGCTGACGGATCTCAAACGTTGTATGTTTTAAATATGTACATATCATGAATAAAAGCCCTGCTCGCCTCTTACTGTATCACTCTCTCATTCTGATCATGATTATTAGGACCAGATGAGGGGATTTGAAGCCCATAATGGTCAGGGTCTTAATTGGGCTGCCTCACTCTCCTCCTCACTGTACTCTCGCTCGTCCATTCAAATTAATGTGATTCTATTTTATCCCTTTTATCCGAGGGGTCACGTAGAGCAATTGTAGGTGTTGAATTTGTACCTTCAAAGGTTTGCTGAGCTTTCACACTTTTGTAATCATACGTGTTGGAGCCTCTGCTGGGTGGATTGGCTGGAGACGTCACACACATGTTCTCCTGAAAACACATGAGGAGGGTTTGAAAAAAGGACATGGTGGATTATTGGAATAGGTTTCTTGGAACTGGATTTAGTGCAGTATAAATACATTTGGAGATTTTGACTGGGACTCAGACACATAAGGGGTTTTGAGGGGTTTACAATAGGATAAGATCATATCAAATCAAGTTTTATTTTTATAGCACATTTTTAAAACGATTTTTATTCGAGCCAAAGTGCTGTACATACAATACAAATACTTTACAATAAAGACACTTTACAACAAATACAACAGCACAGTTTGTACAGAATATCAGTATGAGAAAAAACGATAATATTAGGTAAGGTATTAGGTAAGATAATATAACAATATAACATAAGATAGGATACAGTACAATAAGATAAAACAGGATAAATCAGATGAAATGAGATTAGATAAGAAAAGGTAAGACAAAAGTACACAAGATTTATAAGCATACAAATAAGGGAATACTTGTAAGTAACGGTATGAATAAAAATAAAAACAATAACATAAGGTCATGTTAGTGTTTGCATACCACAGTACCATCATTAGATTACATTAGATACAATTCTGTGTCCTTCTGATTCTCATTCAACTTCATTGTCATTGCAAAAAGCACAAATGCTGAGAGCAGTTAGTGTCTTACCAAAACAGACAGTACAGTGCAGTGTAATCTATAGAAGGATATAGGTATTAACATATAACAAGCTAAAGTATATACAGTATGAACAGTACATATGGGTATGAAGAATATAAATTTAAAGATATATAATTATCGGCTCAATAATATCATGCATTATGTGTTTTACTGGTTTTACTCATACATACAGTACTGATGTGTGTTTGCCATCATTATTAAATTACCTTAGATACAATTCAACCTTATTGTCATTGCACAAAGCACAAATGCTGAGACCAGTTAGTGTCTTACCAAAACAGACAGTGCAGTGCAGTGTAATCTATAGAAGGATATGGGTATTAACATATAACAAGCTAAAGTATATACAGTACATATGGGCATATATATAATTATTGGCCGAATAAGATCATGCATTATGTGTTTTGCTGGTTTTACTCATACATACTGATGTGTGTGTGTGTGTGTGTGTGTGTGTGTGTGTGTGTGTGTGTGTGTGTGTGTGTGTGTGTGTGTGTGTGTGTGTGTGTGTGTGTGTGTGTGTGTGTGTGTGTGTGTGTGTGTGTGTGTGTGTGTGTGTGTGTGTGTGTGTGTGTGTGTGTGTGTGTGTGTGTGTGTCAGGCTGCCTTGAGGAGGCTGGCAGCGGGGTGTCCAGACAGCATCGAGGCGGCGGACCACCAGCAGCTGATCAAACCGCGACTCGTGGACTCCTTCCTGCTGTGCTCCAACATGGAGGAGAGCTTTGTGTGACGCGCTGCTCAGGAAACAGAGGGCAGAGCTCAACTCCTGCGAAAAGATGGTGTACGTTCACCGTTTCATGAGAGGAGAGGACTAATGAGCAGCGTCACTCATGAGCAAAGCATCCATTCCCAAAGCAGAGCTTCGGTTCGTCACTGAGAAGGTGTTTTTTTGTCCGAAAATCATGCAAAAATGTAAAAAGATTGTGTCAGCTTGCATGAATCCAGAAGTAAATGTACATACATGCATTGCCCAGTGCAACCAAGGGACCTTATTAAATGCTATGAATGTGTACCGTTTATTTTGTTCCTCTGGGAAATGTATATCAGTAAGCATTTTGTACAATTTGACAAATGAAAGGATAACCTCCAGAATGAAACGCTTTATATTCTGCCACTGTGCAATTTATTCGTACAATGTCTCAATATATTGTCTACGAAGCATGTTGGCTATCTGAGAGACAGAGAAAGAGATTTTTCAAGAGGATCGCACGGTGAAATGCCTCCGATACAAATGATCCGAAGCATCTGGAGTACCGAGATTTCTGTCTGCAGAAATTCTCTTTATTGTCTCAAAGAAAATATTATCTGTTTTGTGTTTTCAATCAGAAGCCACTTCACCTTTTAAAACTAAATTATTACAGTTGGAATAACTTCTTTTCAGTTTGATGTTTGAAGGCCTTTATTCACTATTCAACGCGCATTGTGTGGCATGTTGAGTTATTCTATTAAACTTTTCATGCCATTGAGTCAAATGTTTTATCCACCACTGGAGAATGAATCTATACAAATGGTCTTGGATTTGAATAAATAAATACTTTTTATTTAAAAAGAAATACCATTGTTGTATGCCATGCATGGAATAAAGGCAATATTCAGTGTCATTCTAGTGAATTACTGTCACAAAGCTGTTTGCTTCTTTATTAAAAAGGGTATATAAAGTTCATCCATAAGAACTTTACTGAGAATGTTTGGAACTTGCAAGAACACCCAGATAACATATAGAAGAGTTTGCTGACAGAACAATTGAAAAGGAATACAGGGCCACTTCAAATTTGCTTTTTTTGTTTTGAGATAAATATCAGAATACAGAAAAAGTCTGAACTCAGACTAGCTTGTGAACTCACTGTAAAAAAATAAACCGATTTTCCTTGGTGGAGACCAAAATCAGAGCGAAGAAGACAATACAATTTGGACTTATTACATTACATTACATGTTACTTGTTAGACGCTTTTATCCAAAGCTGCGGGGTTTGAACCTGCAGCTCCCTTGATCCGAACACCATCGCTCTATCCACTGCGCCACACGCCTCCTCGTATATTCGCCAGGTGGCCAGAAATAAAATATAATGTTTCTCAATGTGTCGATTTTGTATTTATAACCTATTACCCCCAAATGTCCAAAAATCACTCATTGGAAGTTTTAGTTGACATGCACACCTAGTGGACTTCTGAGAAGATGAAACTCTGGGTGTTTCTCAATGTCGAGGACGCTTGCTTGGTAGCACATGTACCTCTGAGTCAGTTGCTTCAGAAGCGAGGCAAGAATCCTTCCAAGCCTCGGAAAACGAAGAATGGTGGAACAGGCTAACAGGTGTGCGTCATATGCGAGGCCCCGCCTTAAATGGAGAGCGATTTCCGCCAAAGATTTGGAAATTGGTCCGTGCGCAAAGCATTGTGGGGATTTTAAGACCGCGGAGTCTACACATGTGGAGCCTCGAAATTTCCCGCAACGAAGTACGCCGGCCTCGGTAGAATTCCAAGTATCCTGGACATTGGAACAGTCCTTCGGCGGGACTCGATGCTTGAAATAGTGGCTCTGGAGCAGCCTTCCTCGACATTGAGAAACACCCTCAGTCTCAGATAACCAGAAACCTTTAAGGAATCTTTGAAAAGACACATTTTAACTACAAGGCAAGGCAAGTTTATTTATATAGCACCTTTCAACACAAGGTAGCCCAAAGTGCTTTACAAAAATGAAAGACATTAAAAAAAATGGCATTTAAAAACAGTCATTAAAAAGCAAAGATAATAAAATAAACATTAAAAGAAAAGATACATGAATAAAAGTTATATATACAATTCAAAACATTCGAATACAAAACAGGATGCAGTTGAACTTCTGTTCATACAAAGCAAAGACACCTAGCGAGCAAACACAACATGTTAAATAGTCCCTGCATAGTGTTCCGTCTTATTGGCTCTTCAGGGTCCACACTGCTAAAATCCCTTTGAGGGCCTCACCGACCTCTGGCTATCTCTCAGGACCTGCATTCATACATCGAGTTTTCTGCACAAACACAGGCACAGGGACTAAGAGGAGGAAGACCCCAGTGCTTACCTGTTTGTCCTCCGGGAGCTGCCAGGTTTTTTGTATTTTAATTCTCCAACTTTCCACAAACATTGGGAGGAGAGTCTCTCTAACAACTTGTCATCAAAACATCTACTATTTCACACATTGATAACTCAGTGATTGTTTCATAATGTATTTAAAAAAGGGCTCACAGTCTGAGTTTATACATTTCCAGTGGTTGGGATGAAGTGATTGCATATAAATATGTGAGGGCTTGTCTGCCGAACTTGGCCTTTGTATTGTCATCTCTTTGATAAAATCACTCTCAGGTTTTTTTCTATTCCTCCATAAGCCTTCCTCTCCTTGGAGAGACAATTGAGGGTCTTCTCACTCCCTCTGTAGCTTCTTTTCTAACCTAAGGGCACTAATGCTGGAGCCTGGACTTGTTACCCCAACCCCAGAGTCGAGACAATTGAGCTGCTTTGTGTTGTCCAGCGTCCACGTGGGACTGTGTTCAGAGGCCTTTGTGATAGAATATGCTCCTGCCTCGCTTTGTTGAGGCCCGATGAAATATGTATCGACGCAGAGGAGAACTAAACAGACGGCCTCAAAAACACAGGTTCCTTTTATCTTGTTTTGGTTCGACCATGATGCCAAGTATTGTAGCTCTTGTTTTCAGTTTTTCTCGGTTTCTAAGGCTCTTGAATTTTCATTTTCCTCCCCCCTCCACCGTCCTCTGTATGTGTGGACATACATATATTCATAGAAGCATACGTATCTTCAATGCTTTTAAAGTTTTAAAGTGGTAATTAAGCTACTTATACCATCAAAAAGGTCTCTCATGAACAGGTATTAGATTGTCAGCGATACCACATTAAATACGGGAGATGCCCATTAGAAATATAACTGGATAATGACAGGGCAAGAAGCAGTCATTTTCATATCTTCCCCTCTATCTGAAACCATCAATCAGACACTTTCTGTAAGAAAAGGATCTGAGGACTTGTGGTCTAATGCAAGGAGACACTCCTCTGTGACTCTCCTGAGAGTTTAATATTATATGGGTCACTTCTTTTGCTTTTGCCACAGAGAAATGTGTCTCTGTCTGGCTCGTTTTCTTTCAGAGGGCTGGAAATGAGAGAAACTTCTTCTTTGAAAGTGCTTTCAAAAGTTTACACTCAACACAAATGAGGGTAAAATAATTTGCTTCGAACTTAAAAGTCTAATTACTTGGGCAAAGAGATGAAAAGAGATGCAAGTCCTTTCCTTTTTGTGTGCAGAGAAGTGCAGACCCTTGTTTCCTCTGTTAGTCTACTTAATAACTGTTTCAAGCCTATTCATTTACTTTTATGCTATTTTCGTCTTTATTTTAATCGTTTATTTACCAGGGACAATGCACATTAATGAACACTTAAAACATTCAAATGTATCAAGCGTAACAGTGCCAGATTTAGCTTTGAGCTCATTTTCATCCGCAGCCCCTCACATAAAACATTTAAGAAGTTTACATTTTACAAGAATAGCAAAAACAAAATACATGATATGCAAAAGGTGCAAAAGAGCAAGAGCAGCATACACAAGTATTTATGACATGGTAATACAATATAGCAGCTACGACATATAAAGTGCAAGAGAAGATACCAGAGCTACATAAAGTGCAAGAGGAGATACCCCTGTGTTAAAGTGCATTTAGCGGTGATTGCACGTCTGTTTGTTTCTCAACCATTCTTTGAGTTGACCTTTAAAACTATTGAGAGTGGGACAATCCCGTAACTCAGTTGGGAGGCTATTCCACAATGAGCTGCCCTTAATGGACATTTTGTCCAAAAGTGGTCCGTCTGCGGTGGACTTCACAGTCTCCTCTGGTTTCTGACCTAGTGCAGCGTCCAGTGTGTTTTTTGTGGATGAATTCCCCTAAGGGGGGGGGGGGGGTCAGTCCATGTAAACATTTATAAATAAAGCACATACTTTTAAAAGACTTAAAATTGTCAAAGCTCAAGAAATTGTGTTTCTCAAGGATGGTACAGTGGTGGTATGAATAAGGCTTTCTGTCAAACACCTTGATAGCTCTCTCTCACAGCTGTTCTATGGGTTTCAGGTTTGTGGCACAAGCAAACGACCAGTTTGTCAAACAGTATTCAATGTGGGATAGAATCATACAGTGGAGGTATGACTTTGCAGCATTGACAGTTAAGAAAGGTCTGATTTGTTTAACATTTTGCAAGTTGAATTTAATGGTATTGGATACTTTCTTGATATGTTTCTTAAAAGTCAAGTTAGAGTTCATTATGACTCCAAGATACTAGAAGTGGGAGACTAGTTCTAGTTCTGCTCCGTTTAAAAACACGTTGGATCCTTCGATTTTGACTGGTCGTTTACTGAACATCATGCATACTGAATTAAAACATGATTGTTTCCAATTCTATTTAAATGGAGTAATAGAGGGTTATTTTCTCCCAAAGCAATGTGATGTCTTGTATTAAGAAGCACATTTGAAAAGATAAAAAAAAAATGTTGGTTTGATATTTTTGCCTCAAAATGATATACACATATGATCTGAACTATAAAAAACACATCTATTGTTGTCCATGTACTCTTACCTTTATACAAATGTCCACCTGCACTACTGTACATCACAACTGTCATGATGCCACATTGCCCGCTTAATTTTAAATGGACTCAATTTATAAAATCCAACAGGAAATGCTGTGGTACACTAGACTAGCATGACTGACATTATTAACCACACAAACCCAATGAGAAAAGAAAGTCTAGCGTTGAATTCTAAGTTGTATGGAAGCTAGTTAGCTTGCCAGCCAGTTGTAATTAGTATACAATATTTACTCTGACTAATTAACAAGTTAAAGGTATTTGTGGTCTTTAAAAACAACCACTTATATCCCACATCTGAAGCTGCTCTGTTACAAAGAGAGAATAATAACTGATACTAGCGCATTATATCCTCCTTACTTTCTGTCAGCATTGGACTAAAACTGAATGATTTCAACACACACACACACACACACACACACACACACACACACACACACACACACACACACACACACACACACACACAAACACACACACACACACACACTTCCCACATATATATATATAGAACTCACAAAGACTAATTATGATTTTTGTGCCATCACCGTTGGACAGCCAATTAACAGAGTAATATTTCTGTTTGCTGATTTCTCTAGTTCAGTGCCTGCTGGCTCCCATTAGAGGACCAAGAGTAGATTTTTAATTGCTGAAACACAACCACAACATTGAGCCTAAATTAATATCTGCACTTTCACAACTTTTGGCCAAAGTCAGTGGAGGGTAAAGGGCTAATGCCAACAATATTTAGGGAAGGGTGGACAGTGATCATATGGCTTTATTCTGTACCTGCTGTGGGTTCATTATAAAAAGTGCTCCATGCCTTGATACTGCAGGAAAATAGACAGTAAATAAAAGTAATGTAATGAAAATAAATCACAACTGGCTGAATAATGTTATCTTTAAACTCTTTGTCATTGGTTCCTGATTTGCAGAAGTTCAGTTAAGAATACTTTTGAATGCCACTGTTTGATTATTATA